TCAAACCAAAAAATAACAGAAAGAGAAGACGTGGCAGCCCCAAACCCCAGACTCGTAGTTAATATCTAACTCCGATTGCTTAACGCCCCGCCCTGCACGCTCACCCTGTGTGCCGCTGTGGATTTTTCTTATATTTAGTAAATAAAAATGGCTTTGATTTATGTTTTCTCGTGCTGCAGTGTTTTAATTGAGCTTTTTTTTTTTTTAATAAAGAACTCAGGCAGGTTTTGACACCGAGCACCATCCTTGGGTGTCACCAGCTGCAGTCCTGGGACAAAGGTTCAAGACCTCGCTGGCAGTGCCCCCCCTCCCTGTGACGAAATCCTCGTTCGCGGCCGCTCTTTGTGCCCTGACCTCCTTTTCTGTTCCTCTCCCTGACCTCAGCGTCGCTTCAGGGCAAACAAACACCAACTAAACGCCCCAACGACCCCTCCGTGGGCCCGGAGATTTTTCCTCCGGAGTCGTTAACGTTATTAAAACTTCCAGCTCGATCTGTCCCGGCGCTCTCCGGGCTCCGGGAGCGAAGGCACGACAGCGAGAAGGAAAATTAAAACAGGGAACAATCCCCTCGGTCGTTGGAGGCGCAGCTCGATGTCTGCAGCGGGACGCGAGCGCCACGTGATTTAATCGCTGACGGTCCCCATGCGCCCGTTTGCTGAGCGGGGACTCGGGCGGAGCGACAATTAGAGGGGTTTCTGTGGCGCAAAGCAGACTTTTCCAGGTTTGGAAACGACAGGGATGTGGGACCGACGGGCAAATTATGGGAATAAGGGACCGATAAGGGGCTTCTCGCGTCAGCGGTTCTGTTTCTGCCCCAGTAGAACGGCAGCTCGCCCTCCTCACCCGGCTCTTGGAGGGTTTTTTCTAAACCCTTGTTGCTTCTAATTTCCAAATTCAAGGGGTTTCTACCTCTGTGTCATCTTTTTTAACTCCAAAGGGATGGAGAGCGTTACAAACAACGAGGCTGGAGAAAAAACCCTCTGGAGGGGGCCGAGGGATCGGAAGCGGACGTGATCCAAGCTACTACTTCGAGAGGCCAAACCAATAGGACAGAGCCCGAAAAAGCCTCCGGGTTAAATTGTAACCGTCAGGGCTCGACGTCCCCGGAGGTATCGCGGGTCCTCGATTCCGGGAGGAGAAAAGCTTGGGCTGACGCGGTGCTCACCTTCATCCCGCCGGCTTCCCAGGATGGACGAGGAACATCTTCACGACGACTTGCGCGTTTTCAGAGGTGAGAGCGGAGCCCTCGAGCGGAGGCGCGCGGGAGTCGAGGTTGTCTCTTGTAGCTCTTCCTCCTGAGGGACAGGAAGGTCTGGGGGTGGTGCCCACCCGGCGCCACCTCCGAGGGTTCAGCCTGAGCAGAATTAGGTTCTTTTTGGGAGATTTCCCAAATCGAGCTCCCCAAGGTCGAACCTTGCGACCTGAGGGGTTTTCTGAGCTTCAGCCCCTCCCAGAAGGGCACCGGGGGTGGCCGAGAGCCCCCCCGGACCACGGAACATCCCCTGGGGAACCGTTTCCCTCCTGGAAGGGCTCTCTAGACACCCAGGAGGGTTTGAGAACCCCCCAAAAATACCTTTTGTGCTTCAAATTCCTCTTTAACTTGGAGAGGCCACCTCAGGGTTAACCCAGCCGGCCAGTCGGGGGGGGATTTCAGCCCCCCGAGGTGGGTCCAGACAGGAGTTATCGTCCAAATTTTTGGCATCTCCAACCGACTGCTCCCAGGTTATTTATTAACCAGAAGCGGGATAACTAAGACGACAAGAAAAATCCGAGGGGGGAGGCGGGGGGAGGAGATATTTTCACATCCTTTTTCCTTTCAAAGGCAGAAACTTCTTCCAGGAGATGCCGCGATCGGATTTCGCCGTTTACTCGCTGCTGGCCCTCTCCTTCCTGCTCACCATCACCCTCTTCGCCGTGTCGCTCTCCAGAGGTACGGGGACACCTCTCGCCTCACGACTGAGGTCAATTAATTCCTCACTTAGCACCCAGAGACACCGATAACACAGCGTCTCCTCTCCCCCCCAGTTTCAGCCCTTTCGTCTAAATTCCACGAGGAGCACCTGGATCGGAGACAGAACTTTTCCGGCAGCGATTTGCTCCGTGAGTCCTGACCCACAGGCTTCCCTTCCCCTCCCAAATCTCCCTAAATCCTCCCTGGCCCCGGAATCCTTCGTTAAGGCGGTGCCCGGCGGCGGTCCCCTCCTGGGTTTGCTGCAGACGCTTTTATATTTGAGAAAAAAACAATTTTTCCTCGTAGTTTGTTTTTTTTCCGCGGTGCCGATCTGATACATCGGCTTGGGGCCCTGGCTGGTGTGTGCCTCCCAGCTCTCCCAACCCTGATTTTTTTTCTTTTCCCCGTCCAGTGTTTCCCTGCGGTGCCAAATCCCGGGAATGGGAATATTTCGACGGGAAATGCTACTACTTCTCCCTCAGCAAAATGAACTGGTTCAAGGCGAAGGAGCAGTGCGAGGAGATGCGCGCGCACCTCGCCGTCATCGACAGCTATGCCGAGCAGGTAAATAAATAAAAACCCCTCCTCTTGGCCAAATCCTGCCCGTACCTGTACCTTGCCAGCGCTGTTATCCTTTGTGTCTTCCGCCGGCACCAATCCTGCTCCACTGGCTCCCGAATAAATAGCCGAGTTGCAGAATCACATTTTGGATTCTGGCCCCCAAACCCTCCCACCAGTTTTTGTTTTCTTTCTTTTCTCCCCCCCCCCCCCCCCCCCCCCCCCCGCCACAGAATTTTATCACGTTCAGGACGAGGAACGAGCGGTTCTGGATCGGGCTGACGGATCAGAATTCCGAAGGGGAGTGGGAATGGATCGACGGCACCGATTACAGAA